CAGAAGAGATCAAGTTTAATTTCCAGAAGTAAATAAAACATGTATTTATTAAAGTGTGATGACATAGTTAAAAAAACAACAAAAATGTTCCTGTAGATTCATCCTTAACTTATATAACAATGTTATATGTAAAGAGTTAAATGCTAGGTTTGCTTTGAATATGAATAGATTTGTTACTATTTAAGAAAATATTTATCAGTCATCCACTGTGTATCAGGCTTTTTGCTTTGTGTCTGAGCTATAGAGATTAGGGTAAAATACTGTTCTGCCTTTTCCAAGTTTTCAAACTTGCAGGAAAAAAATAATGTCAATATGTATGATGCATGATAAAAATATGAAATTATATATGACTGTTATGAAAAGAAGATAGAAATAAAGAAAATAAATGGCTTTTGCATGAGAAAAATATATCTGTTATTGATTCTTTAAATGCCTAAAGGAGCTTGTACCAGATCAGACCAAAGCCAGGAGCCAGGAACACCATCCAGATATCCCACATGGGAAACAGAGACTGAAGTATTTAAGTCCTATAGCAGGTCAAATCTTGAGAAATGGATAAGATCAAAAAAAGTAAAAGGAAATGAAAGGAAATGTAATTCAATCAAACTACAACTTTTTTGCATAAGTTACAGGACGAAAAACTTCAGGTCATTTTCTGCCTCAGATATAAGCTAAGACGGTGTAAATGATGGACAATGTGTTTGGGAAGACAGATTGGAACAGAATCTGTGATGAATTTCCATGTTATTAAATGTGGCCAGCTAAGGTAAGTGGAAGGTTGGTGGGCAGAAGCTGGATGCACGTGCTAGTGAATACTGAATGTCAAGACTAAGATGAATTATGCATACCCAGATCTAGAGAAAGAACTCTGGAGTTAACATCCTTGTTCTAGACTTGTGAGCTGGGTAATTTCTAAGAAGGAGGTTTCACCCATTTATGCCTTCATTTCCTTTCCATAAAATAAACAACAAATCAGCACCTATTAGACTTGTCATGAGTACATGCGCCATGTAAAACATTTGCAACAATATGTGCCAAAATGAAGTGTTACCACTATTATGCCCACCATCACTACCCCCATCATTGTCATAACATACACATCCGTATTAATTATCCTATATCCTAAATCAGTGGAAAACAATATGAATGAGTAAAAAGCAGAAGTATGGCAAACTGAAGTCAAAGCTTGCTTACACAAAGGGGTGCTTCTCAAATGCTAATGTGCACATGAATCACCAAAACTCTCGTTAAAATGCTGACTTGATTTATTAGATTCTGCATTTCTTAGCAACTCCCAGGTGATTTCTGTACTTTGGACTGCAGACCAGTTTGAGCAACAGGAGTCTGAGACATCTGTTAATTAGTTGCAGCTGGCAGTGCCAAGAGAGATTGTGTGAATGAGTGCCTATTCAGCCAGATCTAAATTACCAAAAAGAAGACAGAAATAAACGTCTATTTCTTTTTAAATCATGAAGTCTCTCTATTTTAAAACAAATACCCTTGCAAACACATTCCATATACTCAGATTGCGTTCAGCCTGTGGGGCAGTCTGTTTGCAGCAGGCTGAATGAAGGCACCAAGCAAGGTTAAAATTGAGAAGTGTGGAGCAAGTAGAGTTGGGACTGGAGGGACCCTAGGGTGCCAGTTTGAATATCTGAGCCAGCTCTAAGCACTGGTTTACAAGAAAAAGCTGGGCACATTTAAAAGCTGGCACACATTGTGAAGAGACCTTTGGATCACACTAAAGTTTTTATTGCTTTAAAATTTACTATATTATGAGTGAAATGGTCATTTTTTTTTCCATTTAATTACTGTTTGGAGTCATTGCTTACCATAACTAAATTATAGTCCTTTTGCTTTTTACTTGTTAAACTTCTTATTTGGTGGAGCATTAAGCCTTTTTATTGTAATGCAAATTTAGAATTTGTTCTCAAAACCTTAAAAAAGGAGATGGAGGGAGGATGAGAATAAAGGAATAACATCCTTAGAATTGTATCTATGAACTATATTGAATCTGTTAAAAACTTACTAAAATTAAAATAAAAACATTAAAAATAAAAGAGAAATTGTGAAGAGACTTGAATGCTAGCAAAACTTTTGATTTTTAATTTGTAGAAAATAATGTGCTGAAAAAGAAAGCTAGTTGGTTAGGAGTTTGAATTAATAAGAAGTTGAAGTTTAAAGATACTGAAGAGAAAGTAGCTGTTTTATAAGGAGTGTGCTGGGAAGTTGGAATTGCTACAACTGGATATTTTCAAGATTAGGTCCTACCAGTCCTAGTTTAATGAATTCGATAAGACTACTTTCTAATTAACAGCGTCCATTTGTATGCAAACAATGAAATAGGTCTTTAAAGCAGTTTCTTCCCTTCAATACATTTAGGAATGCTTCCCATTATTTTATGTATCATTAATTTTCTTGGCAAATGAGCATAGATTATGTACAGGGAAATTGTTTAAAAATTAATGACTTACTCATTTCAAACGAAAACTAAGTGATTCTATAATGCAACCATTAAGAATCATTAGCTTAACTAAGTGATAGAATTTAGTAGTTTTTACAAAGGAACAAACTCATAGCATACCTCTCCAGATGTGATGTCATGCAAAATATATGGCATTCTATATGAAGAATTCTCACCAAAACTGATAGATGTTATCCAGTTCTTCTATTACATAAATGAAGCAGCAGTGAACTTGATATCTTAAATTGCACAGCTAATTGTCTATATTTTACACTCCATTTGCTTTCAACATAGCCTAACCTTAATGGATGTCCATTGCCATCTAAATCGTTCTGAGAATTTTTATATTTCTGATATCTTGTACTTTGAAAGATTTAAAATTATGTACAATGAGGTTTCAAATATTCTTAAGGTTTTTTGTGTACTTTATGTGCATTTGTGGACTAAGAAAGGTTAAATATTTCTAAAAGCTGTATTAAAAACCTTTGCAGACTAACAATACTGTGGTTGGTTAAGTTGAATAGGCATCTTAGTTTTCATTTGTACACTAGATAACTTCAATTTTACCGTTTGAGTTGCACTCAAAACATGGCATTGAATAACAATAGTTTCATGATGATAGCCTTCCCTCAGTTGTAACTTTAACATACTATTTATTAAATAATATTTTATTTATTTTTACTTGCTTTGATACTAGGAGTTTGGAAGTAGCTGTGAGTATATTGATAGTACTGGCACTTATATGTTTTATGTTTGCATTTCCTAAAATTTAGATGAGATAAAAATTCTGACAAAGCATACCACAAAACTGATCTCAGTGGAAATTTATATATGCTAACATTTATTTTTAAAATGTAGTATGAACTAGACAACTTTAAAAGCTGACCTTCAAAAAATCTTCAAGGAAGCTGATCTTGACTTTTTAAAGTACAGAAGTGCAATATTCAACATAGGTCAAAATGTTTAAATGGATGTCTATTGCCATTTAAATGGGGGAAATTTTCCCAATTAGTTCTTGCCAAATCCCTAGCTGTAACAAACTGACAATTTCAATATTTCATAACAGAGTCAGCATATATCCCTTTTTTTAAATAAAATTTGAAGAGTCTAAATTTTTAGGGATTATTTGGTGAAACAGGCACTTTATACCATCTTTATAAGTTATAATTTGCATTTAGAACTCTATAACATAAAGCAATTGTCAAATGCATGCGAACAGAGGTTATCAGAATGTTAATATGCTTCTTTCAACTAATGCAGGGTAAGATATCTCTAAACGAGAAACACAACATATATTCTAGAAAAATAATCCTCCAATGTACCTAATCCACTTTATGAATTATTACTTATATGTATATATATATATACACTATTCATACATGTTCATAGTATAAATAGCAGGATATTTATGTGAGTAATAGAAGCTTTTCAAAGGTGGTAGGGGATTATTATAATTTTTCCATGAAAGCCGCTCAAGTATAATGTTTTAGTCTTTATTTTCTCTCTATATAATCATGAATATTTTCTGAACCAAGATTTAATATAAATATATTTTAGATGATGTCATTTTTTCTAACTTTTGCAGAACTGCATTGTGTTGTGTTGTGTTGTGTGTGTGGGGGGGTGTTGTCAAATAATACATATTTTGCCTAAAAATATGAACTGTGTCCACTTTGTGAATAATGAAATGTGAGCAAGGAGAAATGATTAAAGACAACAGGTATAATTCTATGATATTTTAACCAAAGGTGTTCATCAATGAATATTTTAGCTTCCAGAGGGTTAAATTGCCACCTATGAGGAAGAATATAGATAGGACACAAGGCCCTGGCAACAAAAATGATTTTCATTGTTTATGTAAGAGCTCACTTAGTAAATGAAGACCGAAGTCTCCATTATGAAGCACTGCATTATGAAATCTTAGCATCAACAACCGAAAACCTAACAAAAGACTCACCTGTAAAATTTCCATGCGTTTCAATTGAAATAGCATATAATTGACTTTCAGTGTTTCAAAACATTCCAAAGGAAAACAAAATAAGGATTGAAGCTAATAATAACCTTTGGTTTTTTTGTTTGTTTGTTTGTTTTTTTTTTTTGCTTTGTTCTTTGAAACTGAACATCTACAGCTTCATAATCTTATATATGGTTGCTTAAAACAAATACAATCTAACAAAAAGCTGCCCTTCTAACAAAATAGTCATTTTAATTGCATTTTCTTATCTCCCTTAAAAAAATAAGATTCAGCCTGTTAAAGTTGGAATTTACTAAGGACATATTTAAGCAATCATGTGTGATTTTTAAAAATAAACTTGAAAGTTTAAAATAGAAGAAAAGTACTAACCAGCAACAAGTATGTATTTCTGCATAAGAATTAAAAAGAAAAAGTTCTTCACTTCTATTAATTGTTGACGGACTTCCTGACATAACTCCTTATGCTTCATGGTACCCTATTTGGACTCTCTCTACTTTCCTTACATCTTATTAAAAGGACAGTTCAAATGTTTCATAATTCCTATTGGATCTATCACCCTACCTCTTTCTCCTTTCTGCCAGCTGTTTGCAGACCTCCTGCCAGCGCAGATTCAAGCCTCCCAATTTTTCCTGCAGAATATTGGCATCTGTTTTTGAGGACTGCTGAATTATTTCTTCCCCAGTTGTATTCAATGATCTGACGACAGTTTGCCGCTGCCCAATGCCATCCTGGAGCTCCTGTAAGACAGCAAACGGGTGAAACAAAAATGAAGCTTCGTGTCCTTCTATTGGAGAAGCAATTAAACAATGTGCTCTCATTACAGCTGTACTGGGAGAGAAAGTACAAAAGCACCATGTGAAAGATTCTCTATGAAACTGACATGCCCGTATACAAAGTTACAAGATGGAAAGACACCTTTTATGTGTCAGTAAAAAAGCACCTCTCAGTTCAGCACCAGTTTTTTTTTCTAAGATTTTCATCTAGAAGATGTGATAATGTCCGACAAATCAATTAGTTGGAAAAATTCTCAAGAGTAAATTCAATTTCTTGTCCCTACAAGGATGTTTCATGTTTATTAGTCCATGAAGCATTGCAAAATTTAAACATAAGCAAAATATTTGAGTTTTTTTTTTTTTTTAGTAATTGTCTACATTAGAGGTGGAAAAAAAAAAACATAGTTGAGCCATGGTATCTTAAGAAAAACTCTCTGAGGGTGTTTAAACAAAATTAATTTCCATATTAAAAGTAATTGTACTTCAAATTGTGTTTGGGTAAATGTAATTTTCATTATAAAGCCACATAAAACAGAATCAACTCCTTTCAGGGTCAGTCCATCCAGAAATCCCTAAGGTACAGTAATAACTTTAAAAATAATCTATAGGTACCAGAACATTTTTATGAGTCATTGATGGTGTTAAGCGTAAATATCTTCTACTTTTTATCTTGAATGAAATTTTCAAAGTGTCAGAAAAATAGCTATGGCATAAGAGGGATCATTACAACCAAGTAGAAATAAAAATGAGAATGACTAATCATGAAGTAAAAATGAGTACTATTTACCTTTTTAAGAAATATAGGTTTTATAAGTAATTAAAATAATGCATTATTAAATATGAAATTTCAAAAATGAAACAATACATGAGAATTTGAAATATCTACCATATCTAAATCTGGTTAATTCCAAAATGCTTATATTACTGATAGTGATACCAATATACAGAACACCCTTCCAACATATGGGATTCAAATTGCCTAGTATTCATTTTTTTTATTTTTTATTATATTTTTGACAATCTTTACATAGTTAATTAGGGTAAAAAGGTTCAAGGGCTATAGGATAGTGTGGCCTAATATTCATTTTAAAGTTTCAAAATTATTTAAGAAAGAGAAGCTGACTGAGTGGGCCTCATTCCCCATATGTCTGTAACAGCAGACATTGAGCCTTGTGGAAACTAGGAGTTGCAAACTCAACTCTTTGAGCCATCACCTATTGCCTCCCAGAGCAGACCTTGACATGAAGCTGGAATTATGAGTAGAGCCAATAATCAAATACAGACAACTCAGAGATAGGATGCAGTCTACCCAATCAGTGTTTTAATTATAAGGCTACATATTACCCCCATGCTATCTAATATTATATGTTCGCTGAGTCTGAACAAATATCAAGCCCATAGCGGAGTCCAGTACACGTCTGTTAAATGCATGTTTAACCGAATAGTTTTTGAGATGGAGTCAGATCTTTCTTTTGATTTTCATTCTACATAAAGTTGTTGGTATTACTTTTAATGAATTTTATGCCATTTCTTTTCTTAAAAACTAGAATTTGGCGTAACATAAATTTAGCAATTGTAATAGTCCATAAATCAGCAAACATGACAACAATTCTCTTATTCCAAGAACATAGTGTATTACAATGAATACACAACTATGCAGCTTTTAAATTTCCTAAGCTATCCTGATCACACTCTTGAATGCTCATGAGATACTCCAATAAACATGTCACTTTTAAATTTAGTTTACTCTGATTGCTTATTTATTCTTTATACTTGTTCAGATCAGTGTGGCAAGTGATACCAGTGATACCAAACTATGTCTGTGTTTCTGTTACACCATAAATTCCTTGAAGTCAAAGACTGTCTTTCATTCATGATTATATTAGATTGCTTAGTAAAATACCAGTTGCATGAGTGCTTTTAATCAGTATCTGTTGTAGGAATGTGGGAATCTATGAATAAGCAAAATGGGATAGGAAGGGAAAGAAAGGGAAAAAAAGAGGAAAGGAGTGATTTGGATTTGTTATGGTATTATTATTACTAATACTTATGGCTGATTCTCTAAGCAGTTTAAAGAAAAACAAAAGAAGGCAGTTTTCTAGATTTAAGGCAGTTTACAATCTAATAAAGGAGATTAAAACATTTTGAATAACTTGCTATACTATCAGACTAGGGTACAGACAAGGGGGTGCTGAACGAAAGGTAGACAAGTAGAGGGATGATTGCAGTGGAATAATAATCAGCATAAACTTTTTGGTTGAAATTTGAAATTTAAGGAATACAGGCACTTAGAGGGTCTGAAGCATTGGAAAGGTAAAAGAAGTCAAGGCCTATTTGTGGAATCTCCATGAGCTGATAAGAAGTATTTCTATTTTCCTAGATAAGAAATAAAACAAAATAGATAAGAGCAATCATTTAAAATCACTTGTATGTTTGGGTAAATAGTACAAATCAGGATCTTAAGTTTGTCAAAAATACTCAAATATTGTATTTGTGTGATAAGACTTTGCAAACAGAAATACTTATAGGTTGTGCCCAAATCTGTGGGCAATCTCCGCTAGGCCCCTGTTCTGCTACCGGATGAATGTGGCCTAAAGCTTACTTCCCTATGGCCTGAGGCACGTCTTCTAGGCCTACATGTGGAGTGTGACCTCCAACATGACTAGAAGGTCAAAGAAAATACACCTGGAACATGATCTCAGATATGAGGGGTAGATCAAGGGAGACAGATGTGCCTTATAGCCAATGGCACTGTCACTGGTAGGCAGGGTGGTGGGGAGGGGTTCTGCCAGAAGATGCCCTCCTGCCTTCCCCTTCCTGAACCGACCATAATCCTGGGAGCTATACTGACCAGACATTCCTCACCAGTTTTTCTCTGGTGATTCCTCACCTGAGGGACACCTTCACCTCACCCTTGGTGATCTCACGGTCTGCTGGCAGGGTCTGAACCCCAAGACAACTCAAGAACTTTCAATGATAATGGTGAACAGAACAAAATTTGTATACATATTTTATATTTAGCATGTAGGCTATGAAATCATTATATCTGACTTACAAAATTAAGTGAAAGTCTCCATCAACTTTTTCACTCAGTGAAAAAAACATATTAATTTCAATTCTATAGCGTTTAAATATTTGACATACTGAGCTCTTCATGGCCAATGAAATTTTCAGGCTTCATTATCATATTAATACATTGTTGTCATAAGCATCTTTATCTATTTCCATCCCAATTAAAATCTAGTCTTAGTTTTAGACTGAAAGAAGATCATAATTAAATCTATTGGCTTATTCATCACAGTTACAAAGCTTATTGTGGTTTGATTCCAATATTAAAGCATTCATTCTTAATAAGAAGTGCATAGCGGACTTCTCTAGAGAGGTTTTCAAACTATAAAAGCCCAGAACTCTATCCTAAGCACACTGAATCACAATCTCTTAGGGGGAGAGGATGAAGGTACACAAAAACAGACACACAAAGAAATGGTAGGCTAGAAAGATGTGGAAAGGGTAGGAGAGCAGGAGGTCCACATTGTATTTTCAGCTGCTTCTATACTTTTTAAATTGAGAATCGCTATCAAATTCTAGAAAATAACACTGTCATGTCTAAGTCCTTCCACCTTGCTCAAAGTGGAGAAGGGAAAGGGGAAATACAAGCAAAGAAGGAACTGCTACATATTTATAGAGATAAGAATACGAGGAAAATAAGTCTCTATCTTTTACATGAAAACATTGAATAACTTAAAAATATATATTTGCAAAACTTTCCAAGACCGTATGAACAGTCAATGAAAAATAAAATGTGACAAATGAAGAAAAGGAACAAGCTAAGAAGCAGTTATAGGAAACTGTACAATGACAAACTGAATGAGCTATCTAGGAGACAAAGAATTGGCAAAATGAATCACTAACCAGTGACGAAAACAGCAAAATAGATGATACAAAATCAAGTTGGGAGAAAAGATAAAGGCTGTGGGAAATATAGGGAAGAAAAGCAAAACTTCAGGAAAAAAATGTCTCAAGAATCCAATCCTAATGTATACTGTAATTTTGTTAATTATTTTGAGGGAGATTGACAATTTATTAACCATTATTCATTAGGTGAGTATTTGTAATAATATGAAACTAGTGAGGTCAGGCATTGGCCCAGCGATTAAAATATCTAAAACTCACATTCCATCTTGCAGTACTGGGTTTGATAAGCTGTTCAAGCTCCTGATATCAGCTTCCTGCTGTGTACTCCCTGGGAGGCAGAGTTGTTGGCTCAAGTACCTGATTTGGGAAGTCTGAAGAGAATTCCTGATTTCCAGCTTGGAAACCAGCTAGGAACTGTTGTGAGCATTTGGGGCTGAGAATCATCATAAAGAAGCTCTCCCTGTCTTTGTGCTCAAAACAAACCAACCCAATGAAGATTTGAGAAACTGGCAGATAGAATTTCATGATTGATTTAATTAAAATAACATTTTTTGTTCTCTTTCTGTCCTGATTAAAACCATTGCCAGTTTTTGTTCACCTCCAAAATTCAAGAGATTAAAAAAAAGGTTTGGTACTTTTCTCAAACATAATTTATGCAGGTTTGCCTGTTATGTTCATTTTTAAGCTATATAATAATCACTATTTTCAGAAATTTTCATATGCCTTCAGAAGGTATCTTCAACTATTCTCACATTATAAATCTGTGTAAGGAAACAACACATACAGAGAAGTATCCAAGACACATATCAATGGCAACAGGTCACACTGAACTTTAGTCCACCTATAGACCGGATGATACTTTGCAGGTAAAATACCTAGTAGTGACTCTGGGATTACCTGATGGAAGTAGTCAGAGAATGAACTGGGCAAGCCAAAGCAGTTAGATGGAGAAGGATGCAAGAGTAAAAATACAGAAAACAAGAAGAATGATGGGGGGGGGAGCGGAAAATCAGTAAAAAAAATGACAAATATTGAATTTACTCTTATTG